CCCTTCTGTGTATAAACACATTCAAATGTCTCTCCTAAACAAAACCTTTGTCCCTCCTACACAAAACCACTTTTGCTCATTTCTCTCAAACCTCCACTCTATCACCTTCCTTACCTTCAACAACAAACCTCAGGAAAGAACACATACTCTAATTTTCTCCATGTCCTCAAATTTTATTCACTACTCATTCACTACCTTATTCACTGTTCACTATCCTCCCTATCCAAACCTGCAAATTAAATTCCTCCAGTATTTTCTGTCTCAGTTAACTGTAGCACCACTGCCCCGGTCTGCGGAGCTCCAAATAAGAGTCATCCGCAAAATCTTTTCTTTTTCATTGTGGGCTACCTGGATGCCTCCAAAGTCTGATTTCAGGTCTGTCTACTTTAGGCCAGGCTTAGCTTCTAGGGCAGTGGTTCTCAACCTGTGGGTCGCGACCCCTTTGGGGGTTGAACGACCCTTTCACAGGGGTCGCCTAAGACCATCAGAAAACACATATATAATTATATATTGTTTTTGCGATTAATCACTATGCTTTAATTATGTTCAATTTGTAACCATGAAATTGGGGGTCACCACAACATGAGGAACTGTATTAAAGGGTCGCGGCATTGGAAGGTTGAGAACCACTGTTCTAGGGTAACTATTCTCAACTGGGGGTTTTATCAGAACCTCTTAGAAAGTTTTTGAATACTTACATGAGCAATCTACCCTTCCAACCACTTCCCAATACAAGCACATATTCACTCACTCTCTCATGGTCTATCAAAATCTTTGAGCAAAAATATATATATTTTGAAAAATATCCCAGATAATCCTAGTATGCTACACATAACTCCCTGGACCTGAAAGCTTCATTTTGCCCCAAAGATAAAAATGTCATCCTATTATTTTAAAAAATACATGTACCTATAGTTCTTATATTAAAAATTCTAACACCTTAACATGTCTCCTTTTGCAAACATAATAAAAGTGTTTAGTTCCTAAGTGAGAGATGTCAAGAAACAAAAGCTAATATTCTGCAGTTGCCTTCGCTTGTCTTCAGTATGTCACTTCTATAAGGCCTTCAAATCTCTGGTAAAATACTTTGTTTTACTCTAAATGTTAAAGATACTGTTAAAAGTGAAAGATCTTTGATCTGTCTGATAAAAATGTAAGGCAAATAAAAGAAAACTAATGCCAACACCAAATGTAAAGCCTTTGTTACAATACAATTATATTAGTCAATTACAATGAAAATATTTTCTAGAAACTTACATCCAGAAGCTTTTCAGACATATCTAAAATGACGCTCACAGATAGGCTGCTGTTTACCTGCAATTGTTTGGCAGTCAGATCTTTTGTTCCTCTGAAGACATAACTTTTCGAAATGCCCTCACATCCAAGTTCATGAACTTGCACCATTCTCCCAAAAGTAATAAGTCCAACCAAGGCTGTAGGTGGTAAAAGACTTAATGACATCTGCATTGATTCCTTCAGAGCTTGTAAATCTTCATCTTCCATGCAAGTATCAACCACATAGAGGAATATCAAAGGCATCTGAGGGCCACGCTGTTAAAACACATTGCCATCAGAAAAAAAGTTCTTTTAAAAGTATTAACACTTCGGTGCAATATATAAGGATAATCAATAGTACATTCATACAATGGAACCCTAATAAAGCCATTTCAAAAATGAAACAGGTTATATATGCACAGAGAGACATCCAAGACATATCATCAAGTGAAAAATTACCCCCTGTAAAAAAAATTATTTACAGTTACATAAAGGAAACATCCACTCTCACTCTCAATTTTATTTAACTGCATGAGGTTTAATATCTTATAACAAGTACTTACTCTTTTTAAAATAAAAAAATAGTAACTCTATAGCTTAAAAACATGTAGTGAATTTATAAAATAATTGCCTAAATCTGAATTAGCTTGTGAGAGAACTGGACACTAGCCAGGTTGAACAGATTACTGACTGGCTCAAGTGAACCATATTCTGCTTTCTCTATAACATTCATAAAGGATATTATCATTTTCACTCTTAAATATAGAAACAACTAAAGTAAAGCTATTCAGAGAGGGAAGAAAAACTGATTTTCCTAGGAAGAACCAATACAAGAATAATTTCATTAACTAGCTTTGGGGATATATCATCAGGCTCCAGCATCAGATTGACTAAGTATTTGTAAACTGACTTTCCAACTACAAAGCAGGAGTGATACTTTAGTGTTTAATGATATACTTTTATAGCAAATCACACCACCCCATCCAATATCCTGGCCACCCATCAAATAACTACAAAAGAGAATATTACCTTGCTTAAAATGACTAAGAAGTCTTATCTTTGAAATGCTCCATCAATTAAATGTGAAAATCAAGAATGATGCCTTTTAAGTCATCTCCATTTAATAACTATTTTGGTATAAATTATTAGATATTTAAAACTTCATTAAAGATATACTCTTATGTTCTTACCAGAATAGGCTGATTCAGTTCAGATATACCAGCATAAGTAGGTGGAAACTACAGATAGAAAAGAAACAAAAATATAAACAAATTATTTGTCAGAAAGAGTAATGAAATTTTAAACTAAAAATAAATATTTCCTGATCATATAATAATGAAAAAAAATCAGTATTTTTATCATATGACAACAATTTCATCTTTCTTTTTAAGTATACATATTTAGACCAGTATTACAGCATTAACATCTGTAATGGGGGTTTTCTTACCTGATTTCTTTGATAACAAAAGTTGCAAGCCCAGAGTTTTGCTCGATAATCCACTTGACTGTTTTAAGAAAAGATACAACAGCTCATATTTCAGTTCTATTTTACAAGAATCCTAATATCAATAAAATTAATTTCTTTCTAAAATATGAATGTATTCAAATATAGTCAAAGTGATCTTCAAAAGCCATCTATTTTTAAATGCTACCATCTAATCCATATTTTTGACATATACAAGTTTACTTATAAATATATTATAACTTTTAATGTACAGTAATATTAGTGAAATTAAGATGACTACTCAGATGTAGACAATTCAAAAATGTATTTATTGAGTGCTTAACATGTACCAGCTATTTTTCTAAGTGCTGGTGATAGTGAACAAGACAGTAAAGGTCCCTGGTCTCATTGAGTTTATATTCTAGAAAAGACAGACAATAGACAAGTAGATACATAAGCACAGAAGATACTTTTTGTTTGTTTGTTTTTAAAGAGGAAGGACAGAAAGGGAGAGGGAGAGACAGAAACATCAATGATGAGAGAGAATCACTGATCTTCTGCCTCCTGCATGCCTTACACTGGGGATCGAGCTGCAACCTGGCATATACCTGACCGCCTGGTTCATAGGTCAATGCTCAATCACTAAGCCACACTGTCAGGGTACTTTTTAAAAATATATATATTTTAATTGATTTTTGAGAGAAAGAGGAAGAGGGACAGAGAAAGCGAGAAAGAGAAACATCGGTGTGAGAGAGAAACATCAATAGGCTGCTTCTGCCACGCCTCCTGCTGGGGATTGAGCCTGCAACCCAGGCATGTGCCCGGACTGAAAATTGAGTGGACAACCTTTAGTGCACAGAATGACACCCAACCAACTGGCCAGGGCTAAACACAGAAGATACTTTTAGATAGTAATAATAAAAATTAATGAAAACAAAGCAGGATGTGAGAATGTGTTTGGGGGGACTACTTTAAAGGAAGACCTTCTTAAACAATTGAAATATAACCTAAGTGAAAAGGAACCAGTCACAGGAAAATCTGGGGGTAGAGCAATCCCGGCAGAATACATAACTATACTATTACACAAGTTCCAAGGTAGAAATAAGTTTGGTATATTCAAAAATCAGAAAGAGGGGCCCTGGCCAGGTAGCTTAGTTGGTTAGGGTGTCGTCTGATACACCAAGATTGCGGGTTCAGTCCTGGTCAGAGCACATACAAGAATCAACCAATGAATGCATAAATAAGTGGAACAACAAATCCATCTCTTTTTCTCTCTCCCTCTCCCTCTCCTCCTTTCTAAAATGTATACATACATAAATTTTTTTTAAGTCAGAAAGGGGGTAAGGTATATGAGTCCAGCCAGTGTGCCTCCGTGGTTGAACCAGGAGGTCACAGTTCAATTCCTGGTCAGGGCAAATGCCTGGGTTGTGGGCTCGATCCCAAGCGTGGGGCATGCAGGAGGCAGCCAATCAATGATTCTCTCTCATCATTGATGTTTCTACCTCTCCTCCTCTTCCTTCCTCTCTGAAATCAATAAAAATATGTTTTTAAAAAAATAATAAAGTAGATGAGAATTAGATAAACATGATATGAGGGCAGAACTATATAGAGGGTAGATCATATAGGGCTTTAGAGGACTTCCTATGGGGATTTTTTATTCCAAGTATGATAAGAAGCTATTGGAGGATTTTCATAACCTGATACCCATTTGTAAAACTCTAGCTTTTGGTGGAGAATAGACTGCTGAAAGGCACGAACCGAAATAGAGAAACCAATTAGGAAGATAATGAAATTGACCAGTAAAAAGATAGTATATCTTCAAGTAGAGTGTATTAGCAGAGACTGAGTATGAAACAGAATCAATAATGTTCTGGAGATAGGACTGATCAGATTTGCTAGCAGATTGGGTAGGAAAGAGGGAGTGGATAGAAGAATAAAAATGATTCCTGATTTTCTGCTTATACAGCAAGAAATCATAACATTTTCAAACACCATGCAATTCAATTATGACTTTTCTAATTGACATGAGATGTGTTGATAAACAGCCAGTACCAGTACCTAGAAAATACTGATAGGACCTAGTGATTTATATAAGAACAATTTAACATTTGGTCTCTAATTACCTTACTACTCCTAAAATCTCCCTAGCTGGTTTGGCTCAGTGGATACAGTGTCAGCCTTCGGACTGAAGGGTCCGGGGTTCGATTCTGGTCAAGGGCACATGCCCAGGTTGCAGGTTCAATCCCCAGTAGGGGGCGTGCACGAGGCAGCTGATCAATGATTCTCTCTCATCATTGATGTTTCTCTCCCTGTTCCTTCCTCTCTGAAATAAAAATATATTTAAAAAATAAAATCTTATAGCTCTTTGGATTTGACTATCCTCATTTGAATAAAAATAACTATAAAGAAAAAGACTATTTTATATAAATGAGTCAAAAACTACATTTCTAAATCATACTGCCATATTCATTTTTCCATATATATTAATTACCATAAAGGATTCAAAACTGCACGGCAAGTGGTCCTACTACACAAAACAGGTTCATATTGAATTGGTGGTAAATCGAGTCTCTCCTTTAGTGGTGTAAATAGGGCTGCTACTGGAACAACCATTCTTGTAGCTTCTAGCCGACTTGATGGCCAAACATTCCAACTAAATCGTACTCCATCTCGTTCTTCATTTTGTTGTATGAATTCCAAATAGGTTGTCATTGTGGAGCTTGAGTTTTATTTCTGTAAAAAAATTAAAAAATATTCTCAAACTCTCTTAAGAAAATACAAAATAAGTATGTTTTCCCTACTTTCAACAATATTAACCCATTAGAAATCATGACCAAAGAAAACATTTATCTTGGAAAAAATTAGCAAGCAACAATAATCCCACTTATAACAAAATAATAAATGACTCTACTGAACCCAATGCCCATTAGGCCCAAAAAGTAGTAAATTTACTACGAGGGGGAGGAAAATGCCATTCTGGTTAGGGGACAACATCAAGCAATATCTCCACCTTGTTACTCTCTAACTGTTTATATAAGATGTTAGCTTTTCTACCTAAACAGCAATTCTGTCTTGTGTACTCAAACTGCAACAGTGGTTAGTGATAGAAAGAAATTGTAAAAATTAAAGGTCTGAGAAGATAGAGTTTCATGTGCTATGTGGATGGTCAAAAGATTTGTGGGAGAAATGAAGGACATTAAGAACTGAAGACTGGCTCTAGCCAAGTAGCTCTGTTGGTTGGAGCACCATCCAGATATGCCAAGGTTGTGGGTGATCTCTAGTCAGGGCACATACAGTAAGCAACCAATGAATGCATAAATAAGTGGAAAAATAAATCAATCAATCTGTCTCTTTCTCTCTCTCCCCTCCCCCTCTCTCTCCCTCCTCCTCACTCTCCTAATAAAAACAAAAACAAAAACAAAAAAACAACACTGGAGACCTAGCTGGTTTGGCTCAGTGGCTAGAGCTTTGGCCTGTAGACTGAAGGGTCCCAGGTTCCATTCCAGCTAAGGGCACATGCCTAGGTTCCGGGCTCGATCCCCAGTAGGCAGCTGATGGATGGTTCTCTCCCATCATTGATGTTTCTATCTGTCTATCCCTCTCCCTTCCTCTCCAAAATCAATAAAAATATATTTTAAAAAAACACTGGAGACTTATGAAGATGTGGTGCCAAGAAAGGCAATATGGCCCAGCCGGTGTGGCTCAGTGGTTGAGGGTCAACTATGAACCAGGTGGTCAAGGTGAAATTCCCCATCAAGGCATATGCCCGGGTTGCAGGCTCCATCCCCAGTAGGGGATGTGTAGGAGGCAGCCGATCAATGATTCCTTCTCATCATTGATGTTTCTATCTTTCCCTCTCCCTTCCTTTCTGAAATCAATAAAAAAATATTAAAAAAGAAAAGAGCCAACATGGATGCTGAAGTTGCTAATAACAATGATGGGATGAGGAACTGATTCTCAAATATAAGTAAGGGAAGGAAAAATATAATTCAATAAAAGTATATTATATTTAATTTTAGAAACATTTTCAAATAAATTTTGATAATACAAATTACAGAAAGTGAAGCTTAACAAATATAATTACCTTAAGCAGCTAAGAGCTTCCTGTACTTTAAAAGAAATAAGATGCCAATTATATCTCAATTAATAATAAAATAAAAATTAAACAGTATTTCCCTCCTATCAGAATCTGAGGGACAAGGACAGAATCTTGTTAAACAAGAGCAACCATGGGTTTTCCAAAGGATGATAAAGAATAAAGAGAAATTCTAAGATAACTAAATTTATTTAGGAAAAAAATTATTTTGAAGGTACATTTTATATAGGAGATAGCTTTGAGAAGGACGATATGAACTCTTAAGAAAAAGAGGTTGTTGAAAGATAATGGTAAAACAAAAGCCTGAGATAGTCAGAGGGGAGTTAGAAGGTGCCAACCTTTCTAATACAGGCAACAGGAGGAGAAAAAATCTCCTCTGGGAGAGAAATCCAGTGTTTAGCAACAGCTTCCATGCTACAGATGTAAATATAAATTCTAGGACTATGCAATCCCTCCTATTATATCTACAGAAAATAAAGCAAATGAAGTTTTCTGTTCATTACTTAATTAAATCTTTAACCTAAGATGTATCTCAAATGCATCCCCAAAAAGCATTAAAATATCCACTAAAATATACCAGACCAATCAGGGTTGTTCATCTGAACCACAAAACACAAAAAAATATTTTAAGTGACTACTTTCTCAATTTTCCAAGAATGGTAACATTACTAGTACTCAGGTATTTGTCATATATTTTCTCAAAATAGATGAAATGAGCCTGTCACCTGGAAAACAATTGACAGTATTTGTTGCCAGTGATAAAATATGAGCTTTCAAGCAAATATTAAAATACTAGAGGCCCAGTGCACGAAATTCATGCAAGGGAGGGGAGTGGTGCCTTCAGCCTGGCCTGCACCCTCTCCATCCGGGACACCTTGGGGGATGTCTGACTGCCAGATTAGGCCCGATCTCACACAAGGATAGGGCCTAAACCGGCAGTTGGACATCCCTCTCACAATCTGGGACCGCTGACTCCTAACCATGCCCCTGCCTGCCTGCCCAGCCCTAACAACCTCTGCCTGGGCCCCCACACCCAGGACCCAGGCTACCCTACTCCGGCCAGCCGCAGGCACCCAGGACCTGGGCCGGCTTTGCCCATGCTGGCCGCAGGTACCCGAGACCTCTGATCCCTCCTAACTGCTCCCCTGCCTGCCTGACCAGCCCTAACAACCTCTGCCTTGGCCCCCACACCCAGGACCCAGGCTACCCTCCTCTGGCCAGCCGCAGGCACCCGGGACCTGGGGTGGGGAGGGGGACCCTCAGCCCAGCCTGCCCCCTCTCACAGTCCAGGAGCCCTCAGGGGATGTCCTACTGATGGCTTAGGCCCACTTCCCTTGGGGAGCAGTCTGGTCTCCCTCTGTGAGAGACAACCGGGCCCATCAGGGGAAGGCGCCACTCCCACACCCTGCCACTGCTGCTGCTTCTGGCCTCCCTCTGCAGGAGGCGACCAGGCATATCCGCTGAAGGTGCGTCCCCATCACCCCAGCCACTGCTGCTGCCAATGGCCTCCCTCCGCGAGAGGCAATCAGGTGATCAGGGGAAGGTGCCGGCCCCATCACCCCACTGCTGATGCCACTGCAGGCCTCTGCAGTGACCTGCCCTCAGCCGTCACAGCACTGTGGCTTTGTCCAGAGGACGTCTGGAAGGATGTCTGGAAGACGTCCAGTCTAATTAGCATTTACCCTTTTATTAGTATAGACTGGAAAACCTGTATATACTACCATAAGCTTCACGGCTTCCTAATATGTAAAGATTTTTCTGGTGATATCAATGTGATTTTTAAAATATATTGTACAGCCCTGGCCAGTTTTTCTGCATGGTTAGAGTGTTGGCCTGTGGAATAAAGGTCTCGGGCTCAGTTCCCAGTCAAGCCAGACGTGGTACCTCCATGTACCTCAGATGCAAGTTCAATCCCCAGCACTGGTTGGGATGGGAGTGGGAGACAACCAGTCAATCACTCTCTTTCTCTCTCTTTCTTTCCCCCTCCCCCTCCTTTCCACTCTAAAAATCAATGGAAAAAATATCCTCCCTCCTCAAGTGAGGATT